TTTTTTTTTCAAATTAAATGTTCAACATTCGTGCTTGCTGTTCACTTTGCAAGACACAGGTGAGTTCGATGAGAAACAATGAGTGGGAAAAAATGAACTCATTGAACCTTTTTGTAAATTTGCCTGTATAGTGCATGGGGTGGATGTCCAGTAGTGCGAATTTCGACTGTAAATTATTAGTTGATTTATATTAATTGGAAGTTTAGAGACCCTTTGTGTTGCTGTCACAATCTTTCATCTTAAAAATACTGCTAAAAATGAAGATTTTCTCTTTATCTTTGAGCTCACTTCTTGTTCATTTTAGCTGAACCTGCGAGTTGTCATTCTCTTGTCTCGAATCCTCAATTTGTGCCTAGTTCATCAATATTGTCCATTCTCTCGTTTATTTTGTTGAAGAATTGTACTGTTGCCATCGCCAAGTCAATCCCTTCGCTTATCAAAGTTTGAATTTTCTACAATTTATAGGTACTTAATTACTAAGATAGTGAGGACGCCTTTCTTCACTCGTTGTGCAGGCCCCAGTATTGTTTATAGTTGTTTCTTTCTCTCGCTAGCGTCATCTGCGATGTTAATATTGATTTGCGGCGAGGGTGCGAGGTGCAGATCCTTTATGCGTTATCAGCTGAGAATTCTGGTCCATCCGTGCAACAAGCATGCCTGTCCATGTAATTGCTAGTTCTCCTCCCCCTCGAGACGTTTTGCTTCGCAAGAATCCATTTCAGATCCATTTTTCATCTATCCTTCTTATTAAAAAACTAGACCATCGATGTTTTGCCTTGAAGATGTATCCCGCTGTATCGCAAAGACATGGCATTTATTTCATACTTAACGTGCTGAGTTGTTGAGTGCGTACCCTACTTCAGAGAATTCGTTCGAGCGCTCTAAGGGGTGTTTGGGAAGTCTTACTAGCCAGAGTGTCAGGCCACGTTTTCGCTGCGTAGCAGAGCACAGGGAAACAGTTGGATCGAACAGGTGGCTCGGAGCTCTGGGTCCATCAGCTGGTCTGTGGCTTCTTTTAGGGGCCCGAAGGCGGCGCAAGCTGCCTTCGCCTTCTGTTTAGTTTTTACAGATCGCTCTCCATTTTCATTGAGCGCTCGGGATATACGTAACAGAACGTTTTCGCGATTGGATACCCATCTATTCCCATTCTAAATCTTCGCTTAACAACGTCTTCCTTTGGTTGATTCGCACCCATCCGCTTCCCTGCCTTGTTCGGTTCTTTAAACATCGACTCCCCTTCATTGATAATCCATGAGATGAAATGTCGTCCGAAAAGCGAAGGTTCGAAAGGCTCACTTATATACTTCTCTCGTTCAAATCCAGTGATTTCATCGCCCATTGCAATGCGGCGGTAAACTTGGCGAAACGATTTGCGACACTTGTCCAACCCCCATCGGAATTAGTATTGCTAAGAGGACGATGGAAGGGCTGTACCGTTGTAGAGCACATTTTGTAGCATCGGCAATATGCTCAGGGAGATTTGTTCTGAGGGCTAAGAGTACGCATTAATGTCCACGTTGTCAAACCCCTTCTCAAAGTCAACGAAGAATTGAATAGGCGACACTCTCTGCAAACTTCGATGACGCTCGTAACCGTCTGAGCGTGATCTACCCAACTACTTCCTTCCAAGCCCAGCTTGTGCTAAAGGTTTTCATCCAGTGGTCTTGATATGCGAGTGAGAATAATTTTGTGGAGCTTAAAAAGCACGCTCAGCAGGCATATTGGAGTAAAGTCAAAGGTCCTTCCTATCGCCTTTCGTATGAAGAAGGATTGTTCGGGAGGTTCTCTACTTGTCGGGGATCTTTTCCTGTTGAAGGTAAGATGTTAGGTGTGCCGGAAGTCGTATAGGGATTATCCTCCAGCTTCTAAGATAAAAATATGGTCTGATCTTGGAGCCATGGCTGCCTTTATGGTCTGAATTGCGGCGCGTACTTCAGCATATTTGTGGGGTATTTCCTAGTGGAGATAATGGGTTTGACACGGATGTTGGTTAGCTAAGAGATCGGAGTAGCATCTCTTCTTGACCATTTTCATTTTCTGTCAGGAAGATGTGCGAGTTGCGTCTTTGTTTAGTAATGTTGCCACCGAAACATGCTAGTCGTCCCCGCGGTACTTCTTTGGACTTGTCCTTCCTTGTGCTGCTTGCAGAAGTTCCAATTGCCTGTACTTCCGAAAGTCTTCTTGCAAAGCTGTTCTGCAATAGGTATCGGTTACCAGTCGCTCGAGATGTGATGCAGTGAATCCAGCCAGTGCTCTCCTCCTCTCCAGCAGAACCTTAGTGGCTTTCGAACTTAAGTTCCGTTTTTGGAGCATTAAGACGTTTTTACTAGAGGCTCTCTGTCCTCCGAAAAGCACGTCTTAGTCCTTCATTGGGTTCTCCTCGATGAACCAATTACAAGTGGTCAGAAGCTCCTCCAACCTGACGTCGCCATATACGGCTTCTCTTTTTTCGATACTGTATATCTTCTTTTCCAGCTTTCGGCTGAGTTTCACTTTTGCTTGAAGGAGGTGGTGATCGGAAACACTACTGAAGGATGGTACTAATAAGACATCCAGTGAGCATCACCTCCGGTCGCTGAGAATGTGGTCGATCTCTGAGCCGTACGTCGGGTGGCTTTGTCCACCGCTCTTCCTCCGCAAAGATGCGGTTGCTATGAATAAGTCGTGCGGCGGATAAGAGCCCAATTAGACGGTTACAAGCCTCATTTCGGAGACTTGCACCAAATCTCCCTGTCCTATGCTCTCCTTCT